GAAGTTGTCATAAAGTGGAAAGACTTGGCCGACGAAGCTCCTCGATTCGGGGGAGGAGGCGTGTACTCATAGCCTTGCATGCCGTCGTCGCTAGACCATTTACCTCGCCTTCCCATAAAGCCGGTACGGCGCGCGCCGGGTTCTCACCGGGGAGGGGATATGTATCGGCGCGAGGCTCCCGTTTTCTGGTTGAGCTGAAACCAGATGCCTCTCCAGCAATGTTTATTTTCAGGTACTTCGCTGCAAGCGCGATAGTGTCGAAACCGGTGTACGAAACGTGGCCTGTCATTCATGCCTCCGCCTGTAATGATTTCCACACAGTCCATGCGATTGAACAGGTACAAGCAGCTTCGTGGTATAATCGAGGATTCCGTCGGGGAGGGTGAGCTTCCTCCTGACCTCCCCTCCGACGACAAGCTCATCGCGGCGGGCGCAGTGGCGGCGGGGGAACGGGAGTCCGATACCGAGGCACAGTCCGCCTTGAAAGGTGGCGTACCGTTTCAACCGATTGCTTTGAAATTACACACGCTCACGGCCAACGTTATGTAGCAACGGTGAAGAGGCGATTGGAATCAAGTTCTGCCAAAAGACGAAACATCGACAAGGCAGGGCAACCACGTTCACATTCACGCGTTCGTCGTCTCCGAGCTACGTGCTCCGGTTGCGAAGAAGGCGGCGAGTACAATGACTTTCAAGGAACACACATCGTGCACTTCGTCCTACAATAGAACTGCAACCTTGATATATTGCCCTCTATATTGCTGCCGACTCCATGCGACCGCAAACGTGGCACTGCTGTAGCCCGTTTGAAGGTGGCCGAGTCGGAGTTGTCAGCTCAGCAGGAGAAGAACGTGATCGCGGCGGGAGAATATTCGGAACGGGTCGCGACCCTGGAACAGCAACTGAGGGAAGACTCCCTGCAGGTATGGGGAGAATATTGCTATTCACCAGACGCTTCAAGCGTTTTATTGCCCGGCAACGATAGGAGGTGGTCCAAAATGTGGTGCAGGACACATACGTCCCCCCTTCACGTACGATTCCTAACTGGTGGATCGAATAGCTCGCCTTGACAGCGCACTACTCCGTTGTCGTTATCCCTGTTGTGGTGAGTTCGGTGAATCCTGTCCTCATTGGTGCCATAGCAAGCAACAAGGCTTTCGTAGCGATGCAAGTATCCGAGACCAGCGACCCCCCCAATCCCATTCCCCCACACCCCCGCACCGCGCGTGCTTCACCCTTTCAGATCGGCAGGTTAGAACACGAGAACCTGTCGCTATCAAAGGCTCTCGACAACGCCGGTGGGGGGCAACAGCTTCAAGACATGCAGGCCATGGTAATGAAGATGGCCTCTGCGCCAGCTGCACGGGGTGAGTAAGCACTAGACAGTGCAAAACTATGCTCAGTAGTTAACAGCACCTGATGTGCCATTGTGCTTTCGGCGGGAAAAGTGGCATATAAACTTTGCACGCGTTGGACCGAGGAACGTGAACACTGATGCACGCATGATGCGCTGGTTTCCCCATCAACCCTTCTGCACGCAATGTTCTGCCAGTGAGAACGCCGCCAAGCGCAGGGGGGTCGAGAGACATGCGCGTCCGCGTAAGGCAAGCCGAAGAGGAGAGGGACAGGGCTCTAAACGAGGTATGTGTAACTTCTACATGTCCAAACCTCACGCTTCCCCAGTACCTTTGCACGTCAAGCCTAATGCCGAACCTTCCGAGCTCCCCATGTGTACGATGTTGTAATATTCGAGAGCAGTCCAGCACATTACCCCAGCCAGAAAGTCGGGTATACTTTGCGTGCTTGCCTCCACAAATTAGCCCTTACCCGGAATACCATTCAAGCGAAGGCGTTGGTAGAGGTGTTCCGGCTCCAACAGTGTTTTGGTGTAGAAAAGTTTGGTTCACATCAATACCAAGTCTGCAGAGAGTTTTGTCATGTTTTCACAAGCGGTTCCTCGTCATGATATTCACCTGACATGCCGGGTGAAAAGCCGATACATTTGCCTGTTACGGAGGAGAGAGCTAAAGGATAAAGCCATTCTCTGGCTAATCCACGTCTGGAAGTCATCCTCCTTGACGAGGCAGAACCACAAGCGTCCTTGGGACCGAAACGCCAAGTTGTTTCGTTCGGAATGGGTCCACCATGTGAATGCCCCAATTGCTTCCAAGCGCAAAACAAGGCAGAGGTGCATACAGGGCACGGCGTATGCATACGTCGTTTTTAGGAAGTTGTACCTCTCGTTGACTGAACCGATCGTTCGCAAGAACCGAGCACTGCCGAGTGTAGTTGCGCAGGCCCGAGCGAACAGCCTCGGGAAATTCCCACCGTAGGCCGGATAGGAATCAGTGTTGATCTTAGCTGCTGGCTGTTGAAGCTTTGTTGGAACACCTGTAGGTGAGCGCCACTGGCGAGTGATACGAGGACAGCTGGCGAATTCAGGCAAGTCCCTGACAACTATGTCTTGCTGCTGCGTTCTCTGCGCGTTGTGTGCTGTGAACGGCAAACGACCACAGGTTGCCACCCTACAGCTTGAGCAGCGCTCACAGGGGAGAGGCGGAGGAGGACACGAAGTGCAGGTAGGACAGGGTAGGGCAAGGCGACAGCCGTCACACCAAGTTGTTGGTGCTACCGTCGTTTCGGCTCTATTCGTTGTTTTTTTATTGTTGCCGTTATGGGCCCTGAAGAATCGTTCCCCCTGTCGCCTCCAAGTGCCTGGTTGCGCGGCCATGTTCTTGTAAAAGTTTCATCCCAACGTTTCCTTGCTCCGCACCGGCCGTTCGCATGGGCTGTTCTGGGTGCCCCATGGGCCTTCCCACGCGCCGCGTGGGCGTCCCACGTGGGACGGGCATGGTGGCCGCCTGCACCCGACTGTGGTCAGGTTTTGGACGGCATAGAGGATGATGCCCATTGGATGTACGGACGCGTGGGACGCGTGGGACGTTCCACGAGACGCCCACGGGATGTCTGTGGGACACGTGATAAGCGTGACCTTAACCCTACCGCTCAGTTTAACCTCACTCCTAACCGGATGATTCGACACCGCTGAAAAGTACCAAGCGTTTCGCCCGGGACGCGTGGGACACCCCAGAGGAATCCAAGTCCGTAGGACGTCTCACGCGCCCCGGGAGCTGTCCGCGCGGGTGGGTCAAGGCGACTTCCCATGGGCCGTCCGACTTGTCCCTTGGGTAGTACAAAAAGTGTCAGGACCAGATGCAAGCAACTTGCCGCAGTCGGGACAACCCCTTACCTTACCTAAATTGGAATGCTTGCAACGTCGGTGGAAATCATGCGTACGTCGCATTATGCAGGAACTGGTCAAGGAACTAGAAAGGATCGAACGGACTAACGCGGCGCTAGTTTCAACCAAGGCCACCCTCGAAAGCGAGCTTTTGCGCTTCAAAGAGTACATGAGAGAGACCGGTGAGTATAGCTCAAAAGGAAATCCCCACAGAGGAGGGCGGGGAGCGGGTCGACAGCTTGCTATATTGGGTGTCATGCTGCGTAGCGACTTGTAGGGATCAGTACGAGATGCGCAAGACTTTCATAGTAGTTTTACCCGCTTCAAGGAGGACATAATGACAACGACAGCTTCAATTGTCCGCGAATGTCAACCAAGCACAGCCAGGGTGTCTACACCATCAGCACATTTGGGTGAAGTATCGCACTGCACCTTCGTTTCAGGTGCCCTCCGATGTGTCACAGCTAGCTGCCAACTGTTGCTTCAACCTCTCGTCATTATCCTTATACCTAGTTCGATTCCCCTCTTTCCCGCTAGAGACGCAGCATGAGCCACGTTGATGTTCAGAGTGGGCGGAGAAGCGACCCCGCGGCAAGCACCCGATTGCCCTCGAGACAGTTCCATGCCAAGCGTATTTATACCTTCGGGCGGTAGACCTCCTATCGAAAGCCGAAACAACACAATATCTAGGATTAACAGAGAGAGGGCCGTGTTGAAGAGTCCGTCCCTGGCATCGTTGGCGATTGGGTTCGTTCGCTTTCGTCTGTCACCGCAGTTTCGCGTTACCAGGAGACGATCCGACAGCTGCAGCAGGAGCTAAAGAAGACAAAGGGAGGCTGATAATGATGATGAATATTGAGGAAAGCGATCCTTTTGTTGGAGGGGCCGGAATGGAGGATCCACGCGTTGGGTGGAATATCCGTTGCGTCGTCCCACCCAAACACTAACACAGGACGAAATATCGGTCGCTAATTAATTTGTGTTGTTGGGCCAGTCGTGCTTTCGGAGACCCAATCTATATTCTGTCGATGTTGAAGAGTGATATTTTTTGCTGTTTGGCCACCACCCGACGGCCGACGACTCCTGCAGAACACCAAGCCATGCGTGTTCTGCGCTCACGTAGAATCCTGTGCGATGTCAGACTCTGGGCTGCTGTAGTCCCGTGTGGTGAGTCAGGTGCAATTGCAACTGACGGTGTAGCTGGAACTTGACCTTCATATGACGCCCTTGTGAATACACATGGTCGATATACCGCGAGTGCAGGATAGCTGCTCTCGTGTTGGTGTTGTGAAAACCTGGAGTAGGCGTGAGGAGTTACGATTCAGTGCTGCCGCTGTTGGAAGCTCCTCATAGGTCAAACCTTGTAGGCTTCGAAGGCATAGCAAATAACCGTTTCGTACAGGGTTCAGAACCAAACCAAGTCCATTGACTCTTCCATCTCGTCGAAACGCACCTACCCAACCACCCTCAGCCGGACTTTCCACGCGCCAACCATGGTCTTTGGCGGGCTTGCAGGGGTGTTACTGTAATAAACGTATGTGAAACTTCCTGCTCNCCCCCCCCCCCCCCCCCCCTGCATCCTTGACAACGACATCGGCGCCGGTCACATTGTATGAACTGGCTCCACCCCCCTTCCTGCGGCTAAGCTACAAATCGCGGGCGCGAATGCGATACGTCGGGGCTGGCATTCATTCCCACGGCCATGTATCACAGCCAGCGACGATCGCCATGCATGCACCCCCGATCGCAGAATACCCTTTCACAGCGCCTGGAGAAGGTTCCGAGTAACGTTTTCAACGCGCGCCTGCCTGGCCGCCCGCTCGGTGTGCCTAGCCTCCATGTACCGCTTCACTCTCGCGGCCGCGCCAACCTCCATGCCCCACGGCGCAGGGCCGTTCTTGCCAACGGTACCGCCTTCCCCCGTGCATGCGAGAACGCCACCCATCGGGCCACCACGCCCGCCAGCTCCGAGAAGACGGGCTACGTTGCGCTCGGTCAGGTTTATGGGGAGGTGGTAGTGGGGAGGCGTTCTTGTAGTGGGGTTGCGGGTGACGTTCGTCGAGACGGTGTTCGAGGGCGCCTTCTTCGCCGCAACCCTGTCCCTTCTGGCTTCCCTCTGCGGTGTGTTGCTGCGGTTAAGACGACCGCCGCCACTGCCGGTCCCACGCGATGACCGCCCCCCCGCTTTGGTGCGAGTGATGGTGGGGTCGGGGTTGATGGTGCCAGTTGTGAGCGGGGCCGTATCTCCTCGTCGGGGGTCGTGCTGGTGGCTCATGTTCTGCAGCATAATTTCGGGATCCTGCATGCCGGAATCGGAATGGCAAGACGAATGGCGGGCGCAGGTCACGACCAAGATCACACCTTTTATCGTAGGTTCCGGCGAATCGGTGTGGCAACCACGAGTCTGCACGGACAGGTGTGCCAAACACAAGCCGGAATACAATTCCCGCCATGTAGTGACGCGTTTGGCTCGTGAAAGTTCCAGTAGACCCTACATCAAGACACCTAGTCACCGCTGTATTCTCCTGAAACAGTGGCGAAGGGCCACCGATCTGCTTCGCGTGACACCAAGAACACCCTTTGACCGTCCGTTTGAACGTCAATTTCGAGTCAATCTAACGTGAATCGCTTTGCGTACACAACCGGAGATTCTTTGCTGGACTGGGTCGGAGGAACACCCGCACGGCCCGTATTTTCCGGGAAAGCAGAAGCGGGCGAGAAGGAAGTGCCACAAGAAGGTGGCGCGGCCTGCCACTCATGGTTTCACCTTGCGCTCTCTAGGAAGCAAACCGTAGAAAACTTCCGCGACGTCCCTCGACGACAGAGGGCGCTCCTCTCCTACCATCGCGCGCATGCCGGGGCTTGACTCCCACATCAAGTCTGACGCGGACCAAACACCGAGAGTCTCGCCGCCGCTGTCGTTCCTGGTCGGTGACAGGGTCGATGTTTCCTGCCAGAACAAGGGATACCACGTTCCGTGCACAAACCTCGCGCTCGAGATGCTACCGCCCGAGGGAACGAGCACTGGCGTGCTTCGGCTGTTTTGGGGGTAGACATTTTCTGCCTACGGGTAGTGCCTTGGCGACCTTCCGCCAGATGGCTGATTCTGTGGACAAAGTGACATACCCCCCGCTATGCAACACCATCTCACCTGCTCTTGTGGCATGACCGCCGCTATGCACTCTCCGCCTTCCGCCCAAATCATGCCTGCTTTCGGGGCGTCAATTTCATGCGACACAGCGGCTCCGTTGCCGCTCCTGTCTGGCCTATCGGCAGCGACACTGGCGATGGCATCGTCCTTTAAGGCCAGCACACCGAGCATGCTCCCCGAGAGTAGGTCGTATACAACCACCCGCCCAGAGGTATCCTGCGGTAAAGTACCGGGCAGCCACCGGGGCGTGTTAGTTGAATACTACTATTTTCTCGGCCGTGGCTACGTCGTCGTGCGACCCGCTTTCTTTGAGTACCACAGCGCCAAGACCACACACAACACGCGTTGTGGAAGCGTCCAATGGCTGAGTGCACCTTTCAATAATGCAAATCGTAATACGTTGATTCCACTCGACACCACAAGCGGGAAAGCCAACGATTCTCGTCTAAGCATGCCGTAATGAAAAAGAACACCACGCCGGTTCTATATCAACCCTTACATTTCCGCTTGCACTCCGCTCCTCAACGCAACATTGAGCCTATGCCACAAGTACATTCCAAACGATTTCCCTACGATGGGTGACCCAGCCACAATCCGTCCTCTGCAGTCAACGAACGAAAGAATTCACTCGCCTCTGGTCCCGTTTACTCTTTGTCACACGCTCATCACCTCGGCGACCGCCAGGGGCATCTCTCGGAAACACGCCAATCGAACAATCCCGCTGCCGCGCGCGTCGTGCAGGCATCGCAAACGCGGGGTCCCGCCGACACAGCACCTGTCTCCACCAGCTCCGGTTGGATCGGCGACGGTGAAGTGGTGGACCTGGATCATCTCGTCATCGCTGCCAGAGACGAGAAATCTGCGAAACAGGGGCGCCAGCCACGTCACCGCCGAAGCCCAAAGACAGAACTTCAAAACATTTTATATGTTAACGCTGCTGTGCGTTCTTCAGCGGAGAACAGATTTCGCGGTGCCACATGTCAAATCGGGCCGTTGAACGTGCATGCCTGTTTCCCACCAATATAAGCCCTTGTTCATTCGGGACTAGGCGGCCGTGAGGACGTTGGCAAGAGCGCGTCGTTGACGGGAATGCTTGCCAACGTATCAAATGGAAACCACCGACGGTGGTTGCAGCCTGCAAGAACCACCCTCGGAGGACCGACAACGGGCAACAACGTGTTGGCGGCGCCGTCGTCGCGTTAGACTTAAGCTTAAACGTAAACTTGTTTGTTTGTTTGCTTGTTTTTGCCATATCTTCTCGGCCTCTGCTGTGCATCCCATTGCAACGTCTCACTTTTTCCCGTGGAACGCCAGCGCGGTGACCCGAGCACGGTGCCTCGACAGCCCCGCCCTTGTCGTTCCCAGCGCCGCATCGCCCAGGTAGACCCCTCCATTTTTAGTCCCGATGGCGACGAGCGGGGCCGGCGCATCGGCGCCACCGCAACAGCTCCACCCCCCGCCCTTCTCACGGCCATCGTCCTGATCCTCTCCCGGTGCTTCCTCTTCGCAGACCGCGAGAACTGTGATTGGGGACGGCAAGACCCACTCCACAGATGGCAGGCTGGATACGTCGTACTTTGCCGCCAGCGAGCCCTCACTGCCGATGCCTGTCTTGTCGGCACTCTCGAACCCACTGCTGGCCGCAACGGTACCCGTACGGGATAACTCTACGCCGCCGTCGTTGTTGCCCTGGTCCACGGTCTGTCGCTGCCCCCCGTCACCGTCGTACACCGGCGGCGGCAGGCGAAGAAGCCGGCACACGTTGGAGTTCGACCTCCAGACTGCGAGCCCCCCGGTGCTGCCACCGCCGCCGTTTTTGCGTCCGTCAATCGCGGGTATGAAGTCAACGCGGGCCAAGTGGTGCGCGAGTCCCGATAGCTGAGGTGGTTTCGGGGGGGGCGTGCAACCTTCCTCCTCCTCCTCCTGGGTTGACGTGGGCTCTTGGATTTCCCCGGCTTCTACGCGCTTGCGGTACTCCTGCAAGGCTTTCGCGTGGGAAAGCTCTTCTGGCGAAGGCACGTGAGGTATGGTGAACTCCGGTTGCCCTAGCTGTATCGGCGGCGGCGGCGGCTCCACCGCCGCCGCGGTGTTAGTCGACGTACTCGTGTCGTCGTCTCGCCCAGCCAAGGCAGCGCCGCTCTCGTCGACGCCCGCGCCGCCGTCACTACCTTGTTGGCCCGCCAATCCCTCCATTGTCGTTTGTATGCCATGACCCGCGGAGAATCGTGAGGGACCGGATTGAACGCCGTCGACATCATCGTCCTCCCTCGCGCTCTGCTGGGGAGATCGATTGCGGTGTCTCTCGAGAGGCGCGGAGACGGGGGGGAGAGACCAGGTGGAGACGCGGCCGCTTGCAGTCGTGACGGCGAGGCGTCTCCCGTCAGGGGACAGCGCGCACGACACCGCGGTCACATTCTCCTGCTCGGGATGGAGTTCAACGGTACAGACAACCCTGAACGCGGGTGCATAGCTTCTCCTGTTGCTGCTGTTCGCGGCATCGGCTCCGCGCTCGGTGTTCCCCGCCTGGTGGTATTCGAGACCACCCCTAGCCGGGCTACCGTCAGCTTCATCGCCAGCTCTTGATCGGGGCGCGGTCATCTCTAGAACGGAGACAGCGCTCGACGGGCACTCCGGCGGTGGCTCTGCTCCGGCATCGCGCTCGATTTCCTGTTGCCCTGCCTCTCCGTTTCCCGTTTGGTCCGGATTGCGGTGGAAACTGTCTCGGCAGGAGCTCGTCACCACGGCTGCTATCCGAACTGATGAGGATCGGCCTGACAGAAACGATTATTTTCACGGCGTGACACATGAGTACCGAGCGTCAGCAAGCACCCATGCAAGTACGCTCCATGCATCTCATAACAATTGCGCATATGTGCTCAAACATTACTGCCGCTGGACAGAAACAGCTATACACTACTGTAGATTACTTTGTTGCCATGCCAAGCCTCTTCACTCCTAGAGCTTGAACTCCCTGTATGGAGTTGTTCCGTGTGCACCTGACCTCCGAGAGATCCCACAGGGCGGGACAGGAACGCAACCGCGGCCGATTTCGCGTTTCCCTCCGAGGAATTTTCCCCGCCGAGGCTGCTGCTCCTGATCTGGACTCCGATATCTTTAACGACGCCGGCGAGTCTAACGCAGACCGAGCCGTCGTGCCCTCCGGTGAAAAGGAACTGTTGGCGCAAACAAACAGATCGAAGCAACGACCATATCTGTATTTTGAACGACCTGAGTTTTTAGGCCAGGTCTTCATCAACCAAGAATCTAACACGCGATACATGAAGGGCTTGAAAATGCCCGCAATGCTCATGTTCTGGCATCTAAGTCATGCATTTTAAATACGCACCTGGCCCCGACTGTCCCACTGCATGGTCGATACGTTACCGGCATCGTTTTCGCCTCCACCACCATCGTCGTCAGCGTCGCCGTTCCTGTCCTTTCCTTCGACCGGTAACTCGGATGACGCCCTGCCATCCAGAAATCCGTCCGCTGCTATAGCTTCGCCTTCGTTCGCTGCAGCTGTCACGGGCTTGACATCTCCAGCATGCGCCGGCAGCGGAGGGTGCGGATCTAGTAGCCGCACAAACGGATGACAGGACCGCTTCAGATCGATGTCCGCTGCTGCCCTGGCTTTGTCGGCCGGGCTGGTGTCCTGCTCCGGGTGTCGCTCGACGATCAGCTCCCATGCGCGGTCAACGATCTGTCCGTACACCGAAGAGTCGGGTGATAACGCGCGTGGACCGGCGCGGTAGGGAAGGAGGGAGAATAGGAAATTCACAGACGATGCATGAGCCTTCCGTCGTGTGCAATCGTTCGGCTACGGCTGTCACGGTATGCTTCATGAAGGGGTATTGTCCGACTACTTGGCGAGGCCCAAACAGCAGCGACATGCTACGTACGCTGCACGCGGCGGGAGTGCCAGGTGATCAAAACGAAATCGAATTCGTTCGGTCGTCGAACACCAGCACGAGCAACATGAGTCAACCAACGAACGAAGACATTCTCCAAGTGCTGCCGTGAGATGTTTACCACGAGGCTTAAAAACGGTGTACAATGTGCTTGGTCTTTTCCCAGCATCGGTCTAGGAACAGAAGACATAGCAAACAGTGTGCGGTTCGTTTCCAGTCCGACGGACTGCCGAGGAGAGAATTTGCTTTCTTCACATTCAAAGAAGGCGCTTCTATTCGTCGTCGAGTTGGTCGCGGAACACACCTCGGTTTCGAGAACGCTGACGATGAGGCGGTAGGGCTGGGGAAGGTTGTCCAAGAACGAGCGATCGGGATCGGTGAAGTCGGCCGGAGGTCCCACGTCAAGAGCTATCATCAGTCTCTTCCAGTCGATTCGCCTCCTGGAAGAAAGGAATATATCCAGCCACGGGTAGGTAGAACTTTGTAGTCTGCATAAGTAGTGAGTGTTGGTAATCATCATGCAATCGCCCAGAAGGATTGAAGAACTTGCGGCTTTAAAGGCGGCACCGGGCGTAGACTGTACACGCGTTGCGTCGCAAATGCGACCATTATAATGAGGACAACATGCCGTCGTCGGCCAATCGCCAATCCAAAAGGAATGTAAATGGAGGCTGCACGTATGCCACCATTTCACCACACTCTTATTCAATGACGGCTATGTAGGTGGTTGTCTCCGGTGCACACATGCTTTTTGTCTTTATTTTATTTTTATTTTTATGGGTTTCCGAGGGCTCTTTCTCGACCGGTCGGTGCGGTAGCTAATCTTTTTTCTTTATCATTTTGTTTTCTTTTTCCGAGTGGTTTGTACCCTATCTGGTTTCGCTTCCCCGCGGCGTCGTATGTGCCGGGTTCTTGCGACCACGGGCTCCCTTTTTGTAGACTAGACTATAGAGCTATTATAGTGTGAGAAACAGCAACAACAACAACAACAGCAACAATGCATCATACGTACGATGTCGAATACGCCTGTTGGCCACCGGCAAGTCTGTGCGGCTATTCCGACGAAACATTCGATTCTTCTCGGGACGAAAAGAACGCACGTCAGTAGATACCACAAGGAGCTTCTGTGGTGTGAGCCCGGATCAGACCTCAGCCGATGGCAGCCGTAAGAAGCTACAGGATCGGTAGAGACAATGGTTGAGACTGTGTGAGACTTTTTTGGACTACATGCTGCATGGTCAAACATCCCGAAAACAGCAGTGTTGCGTTGCAGTCGACGCATGAGAACAACAATGCAAAAGTCTATTTTCAATCCACTACAGTGTTTACCTGTTGTCCGCGAATTTCTTGACCAGACACGTCACCTCATCTTCCGTCAACACCACTCCGGCAACCCCAAAGGCAGATTTGAGTGCGGTTAGGGAAACGTACTTGGGCCCGTCTGCCAGCCGGTTGTGCCAGCCGACGAAGGAGGCTAGACGAAATCTTTGTCGAAGGTGAGCGAAAGAGGAGGCCATGATGAGAGTGTTTTGGTACCCTTCCTTCCTTTAGTGGGCGTAGGGTACGGCGTGATTACAGAGGCTATAAGGTTTATGATCTGCTAGGGAGCCGCATCCTTCCCGGTGAAGATCCAAATGCCAACCAACCACAGGTTACCACCACGACGTTACAGCACGTTCCAGCACCCCCTCACCACCGCGGGAAAATCACGGACCCCCTTGACTGTTGAATCAGGTTGAATCGGTGGTATGCCTACATGCGCATGACACACGGATACGCCCGCGTCTGGAATCAACATAGGTGCAATGGAACTGGGATTACTTGACTGTTTGTGGTACAGGAATGAAGAGAATTCAATCACGCTAGAAAGTACACACGTCGCTGCTGGTCACAGCGCGATAAAAGCATAGGCTAATGTATCATACGTACGTTCACAGTTTGTCATCAAGCAGCGGTCGACCTTCTGTATATACTGCAATGTGTGCTCGTACAGCAGTACACAGCAGTGACTGGACAGCGGAAATCTGCTCCGCATTTGAACACATGGATCATCTATCGCGCAGGGTCACTGTTGTCGTCATTTCACACATAGGTAGAGTATACAACTCGGTGCACATCTCCCACAGGTTTCTCCGTGAAGCAGATTGTAACCCTGTGGGCTTCGATAAAAAACAAAAAAAAACACGCAGGGGTCCGTTGGACTCAGCACACATCAAACCTCACCCGGCCGGCAAAAAAAGCAATTCACGACCCAAGCAATAATTGCTCTGTTGCTGATACTTTCCAGCCTTCTTCGACAGAAATGCTGTCGTCCACCTCGCTCGGAGACGTCACTCGTCAAGATACAAACTGAGAATCCTCCCGCCTCCCATGTGTTCGACAGAAAACATGTCCACCTCGCCATCGATCCGTACATGAATACAGTAGTGTATGAAGTTGCACAACGGCACAGAAGGAACTCGACATACATACATACGCCAATCGATACGATTCAACTGCCCGGAACGCGAGAAAAAACTACCGTACACTTTTGATACGATACCCACCAAAACTGCAGTAGGCTTGGGCGTGTGGGTGGTGGCGTTGTGTTTTCACATGTAAAGCTAACGGCGCCAAGCGAACACACTTAATCTGTTCGCAGCTGTGCGCAACCCGTACCCCCCACTCCCAAAAGAACGGACCGCCTTCGCGGGAAACCAGGTATTACGAGGAAATCGAACAGAAAGAAAGGGGGTACGCAGGCCCTATTCCCTAACCCAACTTCCCCGATGGCATGCTTTATTTATCCAAAACATTTTCTCTTACAGTAGTACAAGAACCCTACGAAGGCTAAAAAAAACACGACCGACCCTGCAGAATCACCCCTCCCCGATCTCGCGAGGGCTCGTCCACCAAAATTTCGGGAGCCACCCCTGCTGCCCAGACGTTTCGGGCTCTTCTCGCCCTTCCCGTGTAGGTTTTTCGATACTGGGATTATAGTCAGGAAGGCCCCGCCGGCGAGAATAAGCTAGTGAACGACCCCCCGCTGCTGCCATCCCCCCCAAGATGATCGGTGGAGATATCAACAAATCGTCCCCGGCAAAAAATAAGTACAGGGACTGACTGTAATATTCCCCGACTTCTAGGAGAAGATGCATCTATTCTGCTCCGAGCCCAAAGCGTGGTTCATTAATCGATGCTGTCCACCTCGTCCGGCCTTGCGCAAAACTGCCCCCCCTTTTCGTCCAATCAAGGATACGGAACCGAACGGACAGGTATTCGCAACAGAGAAAACATCGTACGAGACGAACAGGCGAGAAAATCAATCCTCCGATCAGGAGAGTTATACTATGGGAAACATGGCGCGGAAAAAAAGTGTTCTCAATTAAAACAAAATAATAGCAACAAGGTGAACCTGCTGCGCACCATTATTTAAGACTTTCTCCCATTTATGTATATCCATATTAACCTCATCAAACAGTGGAGACGTACATGATCAACAACGCGGTGCAGGCCGAAAATTTCCTGAAACCCGGGCAGTTGTTGGACGCAGGGTAGATTGCTCTGATGAACACGGGTAGACACACAACGAGGATCGAGTGATGTCGTTCCTCTTTTCTGACCCCCTCTCCTCCATCGGGAATGTCGTTGCTGGAAAACCAAACTAGTCCCGATCCCATAACGCCGCCGTGTCCATCCTCTTGGGCTATGAATCTGCCTCTTGAGAGTGCTTGCAACCTTGTCTGACCCTTTTCAGTTCGCAATGTTTGCTGGGCAAGACGACATCAGGAAGACCTTTGGCTGGGCTGAGCACAATTCATCGCTTGGTACGCTACAATCCCCACTCCAATTGCTACACCACCGATCCCCGCACAAACCGCTCCCGCCAAAGCAGCGTTCGCGATTGCCGCCGCGGTCAAGGTCTCCGCGCCAGCCACTGCCAACAAAGCCCCGCCTGCCCCACCGGCCGCTGCTCCTACTGTGGTGGATTTTCCTACAGTCGTCGGTGCCTGTTTCAGCACGTCCGCCACGTTCTTCGCCGGCGCTCCAATGCTCGTCCCGGCAGCGGGTGCACGTGGCACAGCGGCAGCCGGTGAAGGTAATACATCGTCCAAACGGTCCGCTATGTCGCCCAGCTGAACGGCGTGCATCTTTTGGGTGAGGTTGTTGCCGAGCCATGCGAACTTCTTGGCGATCTTCTTCCTCTTCAAAGCGCGCGCGACAATACACGTCCGCGCGTACTCGTCCAAGACGGTTCGGATTTCCTGCACGGACTCCAACAGCTGGCGTAGCGACTCGGAACTAGACAGTGTGGTGCCCTTCTTCTGTATGGCGCGTATGAGAGGCTCGATTGCCTCCACTATCTCCAACAATTGAGAAGCGTGACGGGTGTTCTCCTTCATGCCTCTCACAATACTTCCGATCGAGTCCACACACTCCTGAATTAGCTCCGCGATGTTCACCGCCGCTTGCCCCCCGAACTTCGCCAGCACGAGCTCCCCCATGGCGAAGGAAGCAGCAGCAACGCCCTCCCTGGCAAGGCATACAGTGAGAGGCCCGGTGTTGAGTGCGGCGGAATTGTTTTAACTAAGACTTGGGAGGATAAGGGATCCTCCGATGGTGGACAGAAAAATGTTGTTGAAAGTACTGAAGCTCAGATACGAATAGCAGTTGTGAGTGTAGTGTGGTCCAGGTTCTGCTGGAACGAACACCATGATACCTGCGAAACCCCTTCATTAGGAGCCTGCAAACCGTGGACAGAACGTGCTCGCGGACAAGAAACGTTGATGAACGGTTAAGGCTTCATTTTTCCCTTTTTTCGGCCGAAAAGTTATCCGAAGGCGCGTTGTTTTTGAGAGCTTTAGTTCACGGCTCCGAGAAGAAAGTCGTGGGTCCGTGAAGAAATCGTTCCTCGGATGCGTGAGGAGAACGGACCGACCGATCGGAGACGATATTCGTTTAATGGATCCGTTAAGCCAGAGGTGCGGAGACTAGTAACGCGAGGGTAGAGGGCCGTGCTACCGCAGAAACATAGTGACAAACCTCGTCGGAGTCCCACGCAGTCTCATTCCAAGGCCACTTTTCCGTACAAAAGAATCACCGCCGCGAGTGGATGGTGTTGTTGTTGTTGTTATGTGCTGGATGAGCTGATCTGCGCCCGCCCAAAACCACCCAAAGGTCCGACTGAGACACACGCAAGGACGAATTTCATGACGGAATCTCTCACAGCCCACGCCAGGGGCCAATTCTTTCTCACCGACACAGGGAGGTGCACTATCGATGAGTATCGTGCCACCCGTCGCCTCAGCCTTCGTTGAAGCCAGACGAGACACCAAGCGGAGGGTAGCTAGTACCCTATCGGTATCCCGAACCCCAACCTCCACCCTGCCCCGTAGCGCCTCGACTACAACCAAGCTTGATATCCTCGCGAAGGCTACTGGGCGGTGGGACCAGACGGTCTTTGTGGATAAGAATGTATAGATAGACCCCGGTGAGGTGAAGAAATAGAGTTCTACTTGAGAGGAGAGGGTGTGCGTAGCGTGCCTAAATTTGTCGAAAAGGTGCGCAATGAAGCGGAGCTGATGACGGGTAGAACTGAGGAAGTTCACGCGCGGTGTGTGGTATCGGATATAGATATACGTCGAACTGCAGATAGTTGCAGAATTTTGAGAATGTGTTTGTGGAATGGTAGACTATATGTGGAAAGGCGAACATTCGAGAGAGTCCCTTCCCCACAAAGATGTGGATATTTTGACGTGGTTGTTGGCATGGATATACTACCGTAGACTGAAGGAGGATCAGAATCCCAGCACTGACCTCGCGCTCTCCCAGTGGGCGCTGGATGTGCGTACCTAAACTGAGAAGGATACATACGAAAAAAGGAGTTCAACAACAACTACTACAGACTGTATAACATGAACATCGAGGATAGGGAACGAGCAGCCGACATTCTCCCTTAAGGTACTATTCTTCCAGAAACATTGTGGCGTCGTCTGGCATTTGGACTAGACCTACGCTTTCGTCGGCAGTGTGTCCGATCAACAGCACGCATACTTTGTCTATTTTTTCACCGATGTTGTCTACTAAAGATCTTTAGGGGAAAGGGAATCTCTGATCTTGTGTTGGGGCACTTTGCCGTTGGTGTGCTCGAGACATGGCACCGCTGCTCTGCTGCTCCCTTGTACTTGTAGTCTCTTGTATGTATCTATAAACACGAACACAAAAATCGTTAGAGAAAAAATGGTCGAGAAAAGCACCATCACCGAGCACGGCACGGGTATACTTGCAGGGGACGAGAGGGACGAAGCATGTATCACCGCCACCAAGTTAGGGCAGCTGAATCAAGAAGAGAGACGATGTCCATGCGCTATGTATCGTCCGACAAGCAGCACAAATACGTTGTTTCCCATTTTCGGAGACGAGAAAGAAAGTAAACACATGAACATCACCGCACCTCTCAGTGGCGCGCCCCTCCGGCGGCTTGAAGTTCTGAGCAGCCAAGCCCTTCTTGCCGACTCAAGCTGGCGCCCTCGTCCACAATCAATCGCGGTTGGTTATTGCGGCTGATTGATTGAGCGTTCTTCGGGTTGCCCGCAGGTGGAGACTGACAGTTCGCGGTGTGAGAACGAGGATGCGCGGAATGCCCCTCAAGCATGGAAACAGGGAACAGCGATTAGGACGCACATAAAGTTCTGTACTGTCCCGAATTTCTGAACGCAAGAAAGAGAGAACGACGATTGGATGAATGCCCACCGTGCCGGCCCTGGGTGCAAGTGCAAAGATGCTTCGAGAATCGAGATATTTTTATTAGAGAGAAACAAGAGAGACGCTCCCACCTCTCACCCGGCGCCTCCTTCCATGGGTGGGCGGGTTGTTTCCCCGCTTGCCCCTATTGTACATTGCGCTTTCTACCCAAGTTCTACCCGAGCACCCGAGCACATACACAGCAGTTGTACAGACGCGGCGCACCCAACCGTTGTGCAACCTGCGGTGTCTCGTCGCGATGCTCCCTCCCCTCTACAAAGCATTCCCAGCAGCTTAGCGCTCCCCGCGTACCCCAGCACCCCCAGCTCAAAGATGTGAACAGCCACATGACATTCTTCGCGGGCTACTGTGAAACACTTGTACTGTAGAAGGGTCAAGAGTTGGCCCCAAGAGTCGATCTAAAGTATCTCCCACGGGTACTGCTTGATGTCTCTACTGGAGTGTGTTTGTGTCATCCCTCAATTCCGTCCGTTCCCCTCGAGTTGCACCCCAACCTCAACCCCCCCCCCCCCCCCCCCCCCCCCCCCCCCCCCCCCCCCCCCCCCCCCCCCCCCCCCCCCCCCCCCCCCCCCCCCCCCCCCCCCCCCCCCCCCCNCCCCCCCCCCCCCCCCTCCGACCGCAATGCAATCCAATCCAATGAAAGCACGTCGCTTTGAGCCCAATGAGAAGCATAACAACGTATGTACTCTAGGTGCAGACGCTCCCACGGTCCCCGTGCGCGCGCCCTTCCAGCCCTGTGTTTGCCCGGGCTGGAGCCCCTTCGCTCGGGCTGCCGGTGACAACGCAAAGAAAATCCCTCCTCCACAGCACCCAATTTTTTCCTCATGTAGGATTGGAACGCGGTGAAGCTCCATCTCCCTTGCTGTTCGATCGACCACGACGACAACCCCTACCCATAATAGTTGCCCGTCCATCATCCCAGAGTGCAGCGCATACTCCTTGGGTTTCAACACTTGACCCCGGCCACCTGAGCGCCGCCAACGCCTGATCACAATTCCACTCCTTCCAATACTGACAAGAAGGGTAGGCGGACAGCAGCACATCAGTTCGATCAATTAAACTACACCCGCCCACCCCCGCCATACCCACTGGTACATCACCGTTCCCGTCCCTCGCCCTGTCAACTTGGCAACTCCAAGGGCATGTTTTAACTCGAGGCTAGTCAGCTTCGTCAACGTTTTCCCGTAGACGCCTTCGGATGATCCACGAAATGGGGATCCTTATGCTCTCTCGCCAAACCGGCTGTGACGACTCGAAAAATGATGCCATCATGGTAAGGTCCACCCCGAATTGTTCGGACGTGCTCGACCGCGACTATCTTTCCCGCAATCGTAGGCATTTTATTGTCGTCACGACAAAAAAACAGGTAGGACCCACGACGCTGAAAACATCTTTTTTCCACGCCTTGGAAACATTTTTTTACATCGGACGTTGTTTTGAGGGAGGCGAATACCACCCCCCTCGCCCCCCCCAAACGCGAAGACCACACAAAGTTGCTTCGGATGTATGAAATTCAGGGGCGCCGGGTAGAATAGGGGGGTTAATTTCCATCTACGTGCCCCTTGTGCGCTCGTGCGCTCTGGACCTGCCTGTACGCTGTACGGCGTATGTTTGGGGTACTTGGATGCAAGATCCGATCTGCAAGCATATGTGTGCGGGGGGTATACTGCTAGGGGGTCCAAGTGCGGGGCCCCACGTGAGAGTCCGCACATGTGTTCACGGTGTCTGCGAGAGACACTGTGTATTCCATGCTGGAAGAGCACGTGTGTTTTAATCAAGGTTATATATCATCTGCATCGGTCCGCTGGGTTAACATAATCCCCAGACAGACATCTCACCGTGGGTGGGCACGGCAACCTCCGTGGGTGGTCACGGGGGTACACAAACACGAATAATTAATCGGAAAAATTCGACCCATGTCTGCTAGGCTTTTGCTCGATAGGCGACCTTTTTCTTTTTTTTCCGGCGTTTGCCTTTTTTTTTTTCGGCGAAAAAAATTGGTGATCGGCTTTTGTTTTCGGCGACGTTCGGCGACTGCATATCGTTTCTCGGTGAATCGTGTTTCACTTTCGGCGATTTTTTTCGGCTGGTATCTTTCGCGATTTACTTCATCTCAGCGACTTTCGCGACGTATGCATGTACTTCTAGTAACACAAACGAGCTGGTCGCGAGGCTGGTCGACTGCTGCGGAGATCACCTGTCGGCGATAGGCGAAATAATGTGTCCTTTTCATATTTTTCTACTGCCATGATGCTTGACTCTACACTCTACTGCCATGATGCTTGACATGACAACACTACAACACTAAACATGCAATACTCCGAACCCTCAGAATTCGAACAAATAATGAAATACGATACGATGGACTTCGAAGTTACGAAGTTACGAACCGCACCACCACCGCACACCGCACGCCCGCCCTACGTGCGGGAAAAAAACTGTAAATCTCGACAGGTTCTGACCCACCTACGACGTAAGACATCTACATGATAAATTAACTGAAACACTGAAACACAGGTCGTCAGTCGCTGTCTTCATCGCTGCTGTCATCGCTTTCTTCGTCGCTACCGCCGCCGTTGTTGGCATCTTCGGCGCCACCCCCCATCTCTGCTGAGCTACTCTGGGCCCGGCCCCTGTTGTACTTGAGCAGTACTGAAGCGCAAATACGGTCGCTGTACACGTGCTCTTGTCGCTCATTAAAGCAACACCGCAGGATGGAAAACACTCGTTCCATGAACGCAGAGGATGGTTGCAAGAGAGCAACATCCAACACCAAGGCGTGCCACGTAGGGAGCTTCTTCTTGTTGTCGTTCCAGAAAGCCATGTGGCCGTACTCGGCTTCTGTGTCACTGGCCGCCATGTAGAAGTCTTCCTTCTCCTTCAACAGCCCCCTGACCATCTTCTTCTTGACGAACGGGAGCACCTTGAGGGTGCGAATGGTGTCATCGGAGTACTTCCTGCCTTTCATGAACGTGAAGTCCGTGAGCTTCGCGGCCTTGAACACCTCCAAGGTCTTGGCGTCCCTCGCTTGGGAATGGCGTCCGATCTTGTCGTGTGCGTACTGGCGAAGGGGGTCCAGCGCGTCCTGCATTTCGCTCGCGAGCAAGTCACAAGTTGCCCCCTTCACACGCAAGGCATGGGGGTGTGCCAAGGTTTTAACATATTTGAAAACACGCGCGGACGGCAAGCGACTAGCGGGCACTTCTCACGCAAGTAACACACGATGTGGATATATATGTAAGTGTGGTGCCCTCTTCAACTCGCAATGCACACAATCTAGCGTGAAGAAGAGAAACTACAGCACAATAATTATCTCTCAGCTCACCAGGTCGTCTCCTTGGCCGATGTATTTAGCGAGAAGAGCAGAGACGGTGGGCAAGGAAACGTCGTTTGAGAAAACACCGTCTTCAGCCAGCTCGAGCTTGCTGCGGAACCGCTCCACGATGTTGTAAGTCTTGTGCGCCTGCCATCGTCAAAAAGTGGGCACCGAGAGCGGCGGAGTGGAAAACTAAGCGACCAATGGTTCGTCGCCCTCCAGGACGATAGTTGCTGAAGTCACGGAACGGCCGACGTCCACCATCAAAGCCAGCTGCATCTGAAGATGTAAGCTCTGGGTCTTGTTGTCGTCGCGAACTCGCACAAGCTCGTCCCTCATGAACTTGGCCGCCTTGCTCTTGTCCGTGTCTCCGCTCTCGTAGGCGGCGATGAACTCCAACACTCCAGGCCAGTTCATGGCGATCACGTAGTCCCGATCGAATCTGGAGCCCCACCGGTGCCCAGGCGTCGATGGGGCGCGGACTCCGACTTTCTCTTTGAAGAGCGCCTTCGCTCCAGCGCTGTGCGAGAGCAGGGTGTGCATTTTGCCAAGGAACGCGTCCAAATCCAGGCTGCTCAGCTGCTTGCCGATGTTGTTGAACGTGTGGGACAAGCAGCCGATGACGATCGCGTATCTGAACAACTTCGCCAGTGCGTCCATCGCTAGGAGGTTTGCCGCGCAGCTGTCACCCATGATGGCTCGGCACTTGTCCGGGTCGAGGCCGTACTCATGGGTGACGATGCGGTTGACCTCACCAGCAATGTCGCTCGCCGTCATGCTCTTCTTCAGCATGCTCAACCGCAGAACGCGCTGTGCCACCTGTCGAGATGAGGTCAAAACATAGACGCGGCGGGAGAGGGGGCACAGGAACTGGGTCGTTTCGGGGGTTCTGCAAAGCTTACCTACTGTTTTCACGTCGAAATCGATACCGTCGGACTCTGGCATGACGAAGAACCTCCGAGGACGAACGGCAACATGAACATTTTATTTACCTGCCCACTTGAGCCGATGAACCGAACCCCAACCCCGAAGCACTCGCAGAGGTAAGGAGTGGCGTCGAAGCACAGCGCGTAGGGTCGGTCGCCAATCTCACCTCGCACCTTGGCTTGCTGTTCCCGAAAATGACCAAGACAGAGCAGGGACACAAGTGTTTGAGTATTATTAAGTTCATCACCCAGATTTTGAATATGCACTCGGGTACGCTACCGTCTTGCAAAACAAACACAGCAAGCACAGCGCTCCTTTGTTATTTATTGTTCACTGTATTTTCCTCACCTCCTCCTCGAGGATCAATGGTATGTGCTTAGCCAGATGCCCGGAGTGAGGCAAATTCACGTTGAAGTGCGCGAGGAACGCCCCGAACACAGGGTTGCCCAGCGCGTTTAGCGGAATAGCTGCCGCCAAACAACCTTTCACCGCCTTGATCTGTGTGAGCTTGTCCTTGTCGGACAGCGTGTCTCCGTAACTCCCTCCATCCTCCTCGGAGCGCTTAGCGAAAGCGCGGAGCGTCCCCTGTAGCGAGGAAACGAACACACACAGCAGGACCGAAAGCGTAAAAGCGTAGTCCAATCGTTGGTTGTGGCGTGTGGGATTGCGCAGTCTACAATCTCGAGGACAAGGTGACGCAGCGAAGCAGCAAAGGAAACAACTGCAAAAAGGTAGAGAGAATATAGATCATGCAAACGGCTGAGGTCTACAATATTGGTGTGTTGAACTGCTGTACCACTACAAGCAAGCTCACTTTATCCTCCTCATCTGTCGCCAGCATTATCGCCACCCTTTTCTGGTGCTTCTTCCCCTTGATGTGGTCCTTCACCCGGTAACTGTGCAGGCTGACTTCCTTGCCGAAGCACGCACGGCAGCCCATCTTCCCAGTGTTGATCATGTAGAAGGTTTGGTTCGGGAACTCTTTGATCCGGTCATGAACTGGTACCTGGGCATCTTTCTTGGGGGTTCTCGTGGCCATGGCTCCCCGACTGTCGATATTCCTGCCTGCCCCCTCCGCGACGTTGGCATGTGCCCGCCTCCGTTGGGCCAGGCTGACGACCGCACGGTCCCTCTCGATGCCCTCCTCTCGCTCCGGTGCAGCAGGGTTGTTCGCGATCGCCTCCACCCGCTTCGCACGTTTGTCGGCGGCCCGCTTCTCACTGTTCGTGCGCGCTCTTTTCTTCGATGCGTCTGCCGCCTCTTGGAACCAAGTCATCAGACCGTTTCGTACCTCAAGCGGTATCGATTCTGGACTTTCGGCGGAAGTGGGGCCACCAGCACTACGTTGGAGTGCAGAGGCACTACTACTGTTAGAAGAAGCTGAACCAGCTGCAGAGATCCGTGGTGGAACTCTGGCACGGGCACCGGCAGCAGGTGATGCGGCACCGCCGCTCCCACTACCGCTGCCGCCGCCGCTGCCGCTGTCGCCGCTGCCGCTGCCGCCGCTGCCGGCAGCAGCGGCACTTGTCTTTTGGCCGACAAATTGCACCTCCTTCTCCGAATTCCCTTCGCTTTCACTGCTATTATCCAACCTGGCTTCCATACCGCCAAGAGGCGACGGCATCGCACTGCCGTTCAGCTGTGTAGCCGTGTACAGCGCGTACGTGTCAGCTGTGTGTATGTAGTCTCACCGGGAGACGGGGCACCGTGAATATAATCGGCGACCATCGGCGACTTCACCTTTCGATACGGCGGAGCCCCCTTCAGAATCGGCGAATTTTTTTTTGTTTTCGGCGATTTTTTTTCTACCCTTTTTGCGGCGTTTTTTTTCAGAAATCGGCGTTTTCGGCGATCGCCTATCGAGCAAAAGCCTAATGTCGGATGAAAATGCTGAAGAGAAGGTAGCAGCTGCGGAGAGGGCGGCATCAGCAGCGGAGAGGGCTGCGGAAGAGATGAGAAAGACGCTTTCACTGGCAATGGATAAGATAGCTGCATTGTAGAGTGCTGGGAGGGCAGCACGTGGTCAAGCTGGGTGGGCAGCTGGAGGAGGTGTACATGCCGGGGGTGGGCCCGGCGGTGGATCCGGGAGATTTATTATAAGACAGGCACGGAAGGATCAACCCAAACCAATTATTTTCAAAGAAAAGTGAAGAAGCCCCATGTGTGGTACGGCGGACACCAGAAGCAGGTGACGAGAGGAGTGCAGCAGCAGAGCAGCCGCCACAACCACGTCCTTACAGGGCACAGCCGGTACCAGCATCAGCAGCAGCTGGTGCCCAACGAACCCCCACGGCCTCCCGCTGCTCCCCCTCCCGAGCGGCTGCAGTACCGTACTACTACTGTTGCCGCAGCACGTCCTTTCGACTACGGCAATAATGCCGTCTGGCCTCAGCCCCAAACCCCTATCCCACAGGGGTCACCTGTTCCCACGTGCAACAGTTGTGGACGCCTTGGGCACGTCGCTAACATCTGCATGGCGCCAGCTCGCTGTTACGGAGAATGCAGCTGCTGTGAGAGAAAGGTCAAGTACATCAGTATTGCAAGTTCAACCTCGCCCGCGGACCGCTTCAGCAGCAGCGGAGGAAATGTGGCTTTGACGGCGGGTCTGTGTTCCAGCAGCAGCAGCAACAGCAGCAGAAGCCAAGCGTGGTGTATTGCAGCGCTGGTGGATTTCAGCAGCAGCCGCGGCAACAGCAGCTGGCGGCCGGCTCCACCGGCGGTGTGTTTAAACAGGTGTGGTGGGATGTTTATTGGCGAGAAGGGGGGGGGACTGCTGCCGGTTCGTTTGTAGCGTCTTTGCCGGTAAAAGCCCCCGCCAACGTAGCTCCTCCCAATGCAGTTACGCAACCCGCCACTCATCCTCCCCCGCAACCGACGACATCACGTGGTGCACCTGCAGTAGCGCGGAAACGCGCAGAGCTGGATCTCATGGAGGCCGGGTACGGTAGCAGTGTAGCAATGCGGTAGATTCCCGGATCATACCGCGTTGTTGTAGTTTCGCGTCCGTGGCATCGCAAAAACCCAAGCAGTCACCGTCGCAGCAGCAGCAGCAGCAGCAGCAGCAGCCAGCAGCCTCACTTTTGCCATCACCCACAGCAGACCATGTCGATGAGATCTGTCCTGGTGCCCCATCTTCAACGGTTGGGGTTTGTGGAACGGCATCCGCACTGGCGGTCGCAGCGGGTGCTTCGGCCAGAGCTGCGGCGGCAGGGGCAACGTCGCCGGGAGCGACGGCGGCAGCGGCTGCGACGGATGCGGCGGCGGTGGTATGTGAAGAACAGTCAGAGGAAGCGGCAGGAGAGACTGAAGCAGCAGTGTTGGTCCTGGAGGAGCCTGTCGTCAGCACCAGGAGAGTTGAAGGCAGCGGCGTGAAGCAGTGGAGCCTCTTCCGATAATTGGGCAGAGGGGGCAGCGAAGGTGCATTCGCCGGCGGCTGCGGCGACGGTGGCCAGACCGGCAGCAGCGGTGGAGATGACGGCATCTACGGTTTCGAGAGGGGCGCGTCGTACCCTTTTGACCCGTAAGGATTTTTTGCGCAGGAGGTGCGTGAGAAGAGAGACCACAACAGCGGTGGCAAGGAGCACCGGAGCAGCGGTGGCCGCAGCAGCAAAGCGGCGTCGGCGGAGATGGCGCAGCCTGGGGGGGGAGCGTCAAAGCATCCCTTTGACAGAGAGAAGCGGTCCCGGTGGAGGAGAGCAACCAGGGAGGCCGTGCTGGGAGTGGACCTCCCGTTCGATCGAGGTAGAGATGCATGGGCACATGCCGGGGGGTGATGCTTCGCACCAAGCTTCAGCACCACCGGCAGCGGCGGCGGCCGGAGTGGAGGCGCCGGCACCGAGGGCGGCGGCGACAACGGCGTTCGCGGGGGCGGTCGAGCACACGAGCGGGGGGAGCGTCTTCCCCCGCTTGTCCGTTTTACCTCCCGCCCTCGCCCCCGCCCCCCCGTCGTCCGTGCCCCCCCTCGCACCGCATCTTCAGCGTCAACGCGACCGCTACCAAGTAACACCGGCGCTGACCAGGGCGCATGCGCGACAGGCGGTGGCCGGTGGAGCAGCCCGAGGATTGCCGGGTACACTTGCGCTTTTTTCGATGGAAGAGGATATCGTCGCTTCGCTCGACGCTCACCCTTTGCAGGAGGAGCCTCCGTTACCCAACGGGCCGGCGCACGACCTTGAGACTCCTGCTACCTCCGCCCGGGCTTACGCGGGGCCGCACAGCGCGATTTGGGGAGCAGCCGAGAAGCGGGGGATGGATGGTCTGGTTAGGACGGGCATGTTCGAGCCGGCGGGAGGGCTCTAGCAACGAGGAACGAACGTCATCTCTGCCAAATGGGTCTACACGTGGAAAGTCGATGAATTCGGTGATGTATTGCTTGTAGCTAGGGGTTTCGGTCAGCGTGAAGGTTTTGACTATTTTGAGACTTTTTCCCCGTGCCCTACCCATCCGAGTAGTCGCCTCTTTTTCTGCTATCGCGTGTGAAATGAGTTTGGACATGTGCCACTTTGATGCTGATCAAGCGTTTGTGCAATCGAAGCTAGATGAGATCGTGTACGTGCGTCTGCCGCAGGGTTGTGAAACCCTTTCGGGTAAGATTATGAGACTTGCCCGTAGTCTCTACGGTTTATGGCAGGCGTCACGCACGTGTAACCACCACCTTGTTCGGGGCATGATATCTCCAAGGTTTGACCAGTGTACTGCTGATGCGTATGTCATGCGTTTGATCGAGGATGGTGTGCTTTCCATGGTAGTTGTGGTGCTTGGAGATGACATTCTTTCCATCGGGCGGAAGAGTAGGTGTGACAGGTTTGGCCGCGACTTGAACGCCTACGTTCCCATCACCAACCTCGGGGCGTTGCGCTTGTATGCGGGAGTTCGTTTTTCGCGCGATTGGGATGCTGGTACGCTTACATTGTCGCAAGAAACTTGTTCTGTCAACTTGGTTGGTGTCACGCGCAACAAGGAGACCCCCATGCCTGTTGGAGTGGAGCTTGGCGATTTTTCTGCTGACGAACCTGATGTTCTTGAGCCTTTTCGTTCGTTCCCATGCGCCCAAGAGCTTACAATGGCGGGCTGCGTTGCAGATTGCGATGTACACTAGATTCACGAGTGCTCTTGGTATTACATTCAGCGGGGTTCAAGGGGGGGTATCGATTTGCGCTTGTGTGCTGACTCCGACTACGCCAGCAGGGCCACTGACCGGCGGTCGGTCTCTGGAGCAGTTGTGATGTGCGGCGGTGCGTGTGTTTCCTCATTGTCTAGGACGCAGAAAAGTGTGACACTGTCGTCGGCTGAAGCGGAGTATGTTGCGATGGCTGACGGGTTTTTTTGTTTTGTTTGTTTTTCTCCCATCATTGGACTCTGTCGTCAGCCCCTCTGGCCCCTATCCTCCACTTCTACCAGCTAGACGACCCAACCGGGGTCACATAGGAGGGGGGGGGCTGGACCCCCTCCTGCGGTTCCTGCCTGAGGTATTTTTATCGCGAGAAGGGTACAGCAATCCCTTCCCTCGCGACTTACGAAGTCGATTATGGTTTACTAACAAACGAGCTTTCTTTGCAGCGCGTCGCTTTCATTCTAGACCAGGAAATGTGTATGCAGGGCATGTTTAAGCTGGGGGGCTGTTTCGTACAGTTTGATGTTTTGAGATCTTCTGTTGATTGAAGAGAAGGTGAGGAAAACGCAGGCAGATCTATTTGTATATTTGGGGGAAATGTTCCAGCTGGGGGGCTGTTGTTACTTTGATATTGTTGTCGTGTGCCAAAACCAGTGAGAGAAGGGTGGCACAGAATTTGCATGTTTCGGGAGATGTTGCAGCAGGGGGGCTGTTCGCACGACTATTTTGTGTTTCGATCGTCTCTTGGACAACAGCTCAGTCACTTGTAGCATGTGCGCGCTTTGTGTCAAATGCGTAGTAGCCAGTTTTGCAGAGGTTGTTTCTCGAGTAGTTTTTTGTGTTTTTTTTGTTCGTTGGAAGATTATCGTCAAAGGACATCCAGATCGTATATTGTATCAAGCAGGGGCGCTGTTTGGGGTACTTGGATGCAAGATCCGATCTGCAGAGAATATGTGTGTGGGGGGTATACTGCTGGGGGTTCAAATTGCGGGGCCCCTCGTGAGAGCCCGCGCATGTGTTCACTGAAACAGGACCTGTACTGACTTCGGTCCGAGCTGGAAGAGCACGTGTGTGTTAATCAAGGTTTTATATCATCTGCATCGGGCCTCTGGGTTAACGTAGTCCCCAGACAGACATCATACCGTGGGTGGGCAACGTATCCTCCGTGGGTGGGCACGGCAACCTCCGTGGGTGGTCACGGGCGTACACAAACAGCGTACCACACCAGAATAAGGTAGGCAAAGCATGGCCATCGCAGCCCAACCCAATGCGTGGGGCGTATGCCTAGCCCACGCTGTTGCAGCGCACAAAACAACTCGAAAACAAGGACGTAGTAAGCTAGAGGGGGCGTAAACGCATCAGCCCGAAAGGGCATTTTCCGGGATCTTGGCGTGTAGCTTTGCGTAAGAAATAAATGTGTGTCGAAACACTGGGCATACCTGCGAGCTCCTGCACATGTTCCGTGGTCGCTTTCCGCCAAGCATTGGGGGTTTTCGTCCACGAGCGCCGAGCCATGACGCTATCACTCCGGGCTTTTTGTGTCACTGAAAATTGGTTCGATGTGCTGTGATGGATGATGCGGATGGAAGGTGTGATTTCTCCACCAAAAACGACAACAGCAATCATCGCGTTCGTTCTTGGCCAATAATCTAAAGCGAATCTTGATGCCGGTGTTTAATCTGTACAACTACAGTGTAACAGGGTTGATACACACAACCGGTCGCCCCGGTGGTCTAGTGGGTAGCCTCGCAGCCTGCTAAGGGCCAGGTCATGGGTTCGAGTCCCGGTAGAGAGAGTATTTTTCTCACTAAATAAATCCTGGTCTAGGATGAAAGCGACGCGCTGCAAAGCTCGTTTGTTAGTAAACCATAATCGACTTCGTAAGTCGCGAGGGAAGGGATTGCTGTACCCTTCTCGCGATAAAAATACCTCAGGCATGAACCGCAGGAGGGGGTCCAACCCCCCCCTCCTATGTGACCCCGGTTGGGTCGTCTAGCTAGTAGAAGTGGAGGATAGGGGCCAGAGGAGCAGACTACAGAGTCCAATGATGGGAGACAAACAAAAAAAACAAAACAAAACACACTCCAGTATGCCTCACAGGAGAAAAAAAATAAATATATACATATATATATAACATGTAGTCTACAAGGTAAGAGTATTGAACATTTCCTAATTTGGGCCCTGGGGTAGCTATTATTGGTGTGCTGTGGTGACTTCTTTGGGCACCCTTTGTGGGTCATGTCCTTCGCCAACTCATTGGCCTTCTCTTCTTCCCCAACCAGCGCATCCAAGAAAAGCTTCTCACGTACCGCGATAGTTTCAACTCTACCCACAGTTTCCAAGCCGCTGAATTAACGCCGTGCGTCGCAGGAGCAACTCCGCCTGTCGAGAGTAAGACCTCAAGATTTCCGAACACGTCAACACGCACGAGAGGGAGGAGAAACCTCAGCTAGTCTGCGAGGAATGTCAGTACGCGCCCGGCGGATACATGCCGCCCGTCGAAGCGTCGCCAGTACCAGGGATGCGTGCCGCTTCGGAACACCACCCCCCCTGTCATCTCCAACACGCCCAACCATTTCATAACGCGGCGCGCGACTCACGGTTTTCCCCGCACTGAGTTTCATCGCTACGCCGGCGTGTTTGTCCCTTCCGGACGGGGAGAGGCTTCGAACGACTAGAGGTTACCGTTGTGGCGGGTTTCGACACCGGAGGTGTGTCGGTGATGAATACCCGCCGCGAGACCGGTGCGAAAGGTGTATACTTCTCCAAGAGTGCTTGCAGACCCTCCATGTCCTGTAGCGCAAGAGTCTGTTGTTCGGTTTCGGGTTGTGGCGAAGATTTGATGTTGGAGTCTTGGGGTATTCTGGCTCGATAGGCAGCTGCCGATTGCTGCGTGAAACGGGATTTCCCCGTGTCTTGACGTTTTATTGTCATAATTGTGGCCTGTCGAGCTGAAGCAGCTCCGAGCCGAGGACCCCGCCCAAGGGAAGTAGTACTCATTGGAACAGCAACCAACGCCACTCAGAACCTGAGTTCAGTTAGGACCGTGAAAATTTTGTTGAGTCGGTCTGCTGCCACCGGAACCCCGACTTGTACCCGACACTTTCCCCTCAGTCCTGACGCCCCGCTCGGGCCCCGACCGCTTGTAGCGTTGCGACAAGATGGAGATGATGGGTGACTCTTTTGTAGTGTTGAAGCCGTTGTCGTCTTCTTGGCGCATCTCCTTGGGCTAGACCGTGTGCGACGTACCACGTGGTAGTAGGCCGTACGTTGTGTTCCTCGCGTTTGTTTTCATGTGGTCCTTGTGCTTCTCTTGGTTGGGTTTGCACGGTCGGGTTCGGTTTATTGTAAGGCGCGGTGTGGCTGAGAGCGCAACCTCTCGCGACGCATGTGACGAATAAACGGAGAACCCCTTTTTTTATCTATCCCTTGTTCCTCGCGGCTCTTATCTTTCAGAGGAGGCTCGATTCTGATCGGATTTACATCATGAGTATTATTGCGGTTCCGCACCACCCGGTGTTCACCCTGATGTATCGCCTCTGTCACTTTCTGCCTTCTTGTGGCTACACTTTCTGTTGTTTTGCACCTCCCTCAAACTTGCCTCCCTCGTCGTTTCATCACATGTTCGTTCCCGTGTGGAACCATTAAGTTGAATGTTGTTTTCTGGGAGTACTCGAAATGATCACTTGGTCCCGCTCGTCCTTGCCGGCAGGCGCTGCAATCGGAGGACGACGGCTTGCTGGAGCAGCGCCTTGATGTGGTCGACCAGGGTGTGATCGAGGCAACCATTGGGCGCCTGCCTTCTTCCAAGGTTCTGCAGTTCTTGCTCGGGTAAATAGGTACGGAATTTTCCATAAGAATAGATACAGACAGCATTGTTTTCTATTGGTTTGGTGTGGTTCGGTGGGCTGCTGGAGTCTATTGGCGTGAACTCAATGGACTTGTTGCCGGTCAGTGTTTCGAACATTATCTTTCAGCTTGCACCATCCCGTCTCAGTGACGTATCTGCTTTGCTTTCATGAGCCCCTGGCTACACATTAGTCGGAACATTTCGACACGTAAAACTATTCTCGAGAGCCTTGCGTATCCGTGGCCGCCGCAGTTATGGCCGTCGCCGTCAGTTCATTCCCCCCCCCTTCTGCGGCACCCCTCCAGGGTGGTAGCCAACCTGGAGAAGCGTCCCAACCGCGCAGCTTCCTTGGGGCGGTGGATACAGACCTCCTGTGATGCCACCTTCGCTACCTCGTAGCCGTCCAGGGTATGCCGGACAAGTTGGCGTTCTTGCACAAGCTGGTAGACCGCAGAGTCGCCTCCTTCCCCACGCTGATACAGCTCCACGGACGGCCCGATATTCTTCTCGCCCGCGCTAAGGCTGAGAGCAGCAGGCGAGGAATGTGTCTTGGGGTGTCTATACCCTCTGCATGGTGTCAAGCCAATGGTTCCATCTACATGGTTTGTTTAGGTTTTAGAATGTGGTGACGTCGATCGAGGTGCTGATGGTGTACAAAGGATTCCGCAGCGGCACTGGCCAGTAACGGTTGTTTCAGGCACTCACGCAGGCGTTGAGCTTGTTTGCCAATGTCCTTATCGCGTGGTCCTCGCTATGCATATCGCGCAGCTAGCTTGCCCACGTCCATCTCGTCCGAACCAAGGCAAGAGGCTATGTCCGATCGGCGGCACGCCCATTTCCCACCCCATGTTTGTCTCCCAGTGTTCGAGAGCACGAATACCCGATCAGTTGGACATGCGACAGACATTCTTGTGTCCCCGGTGCGATCATCTTCTACTTCCCTCGTCTCCCTTTTTAAAGCGAGAAACGTCGAGCAGTTCCCGTGTTGTTCTCCATGGCTGCGCGAAGTCTACATACATGCACAGTACCGCTCGGAATTTTAGGGACCATTGGGATACTCGCGTACCAAAATAGTCCATGTATTTTCAGCCAGAATCTGTACACCTCGGGCTTTTTGTTTTTTATGCTCTGTTGGTTTGGCGTGGGTGTGCAGGCGGGACGCGGCTGAGGCAAGGGCGAAAGACACGCCGCGGTCGGTGTGCAGGGAATGAGGACTATGACGAGGACGAGGACGATGTCGAGGAAGAGGAAGGAGGAGCAGGTCGGTTCTGGTAGAAAGCCGTCAAATGTTTTTTTTGTTTTTTGGTCTTGGTAATGTTGTGGTGCACAATGTCGTGTACCATCGCAAAGGATCGATCAATCTGTATTGAATCTACAAGCGCGGATGCTAGACGCACAGCGCCTCTACATAGGTTTCAAATGTAGTACCGCTTGCTGCCACCGCCTCGTTGCCTGAATTTCCCCGTGCTTGTCGGTTTAGCGGAGAGGATGATGACGATGACGGCGACTATAGCGGAGGGAACAAAGGGGAAGGATGCGGAGATTACTGTAGCGAGACATGGACGAAGATGACGAATACGAATGAGCATCCCAACATAGATGCTATCATTAGGGTGTTGTCTCGCGTTGTGGGCAGCGTTCCAGGCGGCAGCAGTGTTGCGGCTTTTCTCTACCTCGTGGGAGAAAAGGCTAGCAAATTGACTTTGTAGCAAGCGCGACGACGGACGTACAATTTCCCTCCTCTATTGTTGGTGTTGTCGGTGCAGACGACTTTTCCCTGTTGAGTTGGCAGCGGGGAACACCTTGTCCGCGACGAGGTTTATCCATTCTTCACACCAGCCCACTTGGGTGAGAAAAGTGCAACGCAGTGTATCTGGTGGACGACAACCCTTGCTGCGCGGACAATGGTTGGCGATATGTAGCCTTCATCTTCCCAAGCTTGTTGTCCCTCAGCCTCCGGGAGGCGGATTTCTCTGCAAATGTATTTGAACCCATACCTTTTTCTCGGTCCTTCCGAATGGCATCGTGCCGATTGACAAGGAAATGGTTTGACGTGTGGCAGATACAAGCAAGAGCGCGCACCAGCATCGATGGTGCGTCTTGGTTCTACGTCTTGCTTATGGTAGAGTTGCTGGCGTGACATTCTCTGCTCGTGAGACGACCGGTATCACCTGGCTCTCTCTCTCTTTTCCTCGATCGTTAACTTTCAACCGACATCGTTATTTGTCCGTGCCTGGGTGAACACCTCGGCACAGATCCTGGATTTGCCAAAACAGTCCAGTCGTCCTTGCGAAAAGTGCACCCACGAAAAGCGTATCAGATCTTTGCATCTTCCCAAAGTACCTGTGTTGAAATACGTAGTGAAACGGCTTCATTGAGTCGTTTCTGCCCGAAAAAAAGCGATTGAGTTTTTGAAACATCTCAAAGAGGCTCCAGCAGCCCCTTTCATCGTTGATATTGTCGTGCATACTTCAAGTCCTTTTCGTGCTTATAACATTGTCAATAAGAAAGTTTATCCGTCGACCAGAGAGAAAACACATTGGACGCCCAACGTCGGTCGTGGCGGCAGGACAGCAATAATCCCGCCGTTCCTTCCCTATTTTTTCGAAGGTGGGGGAAAAACCTCAGGAGCATTCGGTATCTCGTCGGGTGTTATAGAATGGTGAGTACCATATGGAGGTTTGTCAGTTTCCGGACTCCACGTGGCAGCCGCAGTCCCCCGGCTGGTATTTTTGGGGGGGAGGGGGCAGTAAGAGTTGACGTCGCGCCTCGCAGTCAATGCGGCTGGCGAGACGATGCGCGTTCCGTGTGCCTCTGTCCCCAACGTGTGCCCTAGAAACCGAAGAAAAACAAGGAAACAATTCGAAAGAAGGTAGAGAAGCGATAATTTTCCCTCAAGAGCTACAACCTACAACCTATTTGCTGAATTCTAGACCAGAAGATTTTGGTTTCCGTCTTACCATCTGAGTCAGTCAGCAGTTCGGCTGTGTGACTGAGTGCTTTATTCCTACCAACGAACTTCCGCTTTGCCTATGCTCTTTGTATAAAGTTTTACGGCTTAAGCTACATGCCCCTATCGCAATATCAAGAACCACCTTCACGGCCACATTTATCCATTCCTCTACGACCCAGTTTCCAATTCCCAATGATTTATGTGTTCTCTAAACACCTCGACTAGACTCTACGTGAAGCCCGAACCGAAGCCTTGACGCCTATGACCTAAAACTGGAAAAAAATAGTCTAAAACACATTCGCGACGACCGCGCACTCCACTGCTTTTGTGCAGGTTGCCGTTCCACGAATGGACACGGCCCAACCGCCAAGTACGCAACACACCACATCAATCCACCCAACGAGGAGCCTGCCACACATGTATGCAAGCATTTCACTCGCGTCCTTGCTGTATCTCACACCACCCGTTCTCTCGGAGCGTCGCGACTTCACGACGTCGGGTCTCCCACACTCCCGGTAGTTTTTGATGATCTGCTCCTGGGCATATCATTCTGCCCATGGGCAGCCCACGTGTCGCGGATGGAAAAAAAACTGCCCATGAGCAGCCCATGGGCAGCCTATAGGTGAAAGTGTCCATGAGCACAGCGGTGCCCATGGGTCGCCCACGGGAGATGCCCATGGGCAAGCCCATGGGCCGCCCATGGTGTGCACTTCATGGGGAGTTCATGGGTTATCCATGAACTCATGGGCAGCTTACGGACCGTCAATGAGTGCCCTTAAACCGGAACGAGTGTACTCCTGAACAATTGATAGGCCGGTGGCGAAGTTCTAGGTTGACGTGCCCGCGGTGGGCACTTCGTGGGCAGTGTATGGGCTGCCCATGGGCGCGCCCATGGGAAGCCAGCCCATGGGCAGGTCATGAGCACACCATGGGCAGCCCTTGAAGTGCCCACGGGGGGTTCAACAAAGCTCCCAGTGGTGTGGGAGATTGGCGAGGTCGCACATCGACATTTTTGTCTTGATCCATGTCTACGGGCGCGCTCCTTTGGAACCCACGCACCCCTGAACACGTGATGATGTGATCCGATGTGATTCCCCCCCTTCGAGGTTCAACCGACCTAATCGAACGACCACACACGCTGCCAAACTGACCGCCTCAATAGTCCAGAAGTCCGTGAACTTTAGGAAGGAAGGCATACGTGTCGTCTAGTCTCTCAGACTGCTCTTCTTTAGGCGGTGCACCGTCAGTGTACCCTCTGACAGCAAGACCAACGGCGACGGTTGGTTGAGGCAAGCAACAATACCACTCCCTCTGCCATCACGCTCCGTACCACTGCTCCCCAGGGCAGAGGACTCCCACGAAGGGGCGATCGAAGTTGGGGCTGTCCTTGGAGCACTGCCTGATGGCCTCTCCGAAGATGAGGTGGAAGTCCGTGGTGAAGTGGATGCTGTCGTAGAAGATCTTGGTCGAAGGGTCGTCGCACTTGGTGATGGAAGGTTGGTCCACCAAGCACGTCGCGCACGGGGTAGTCGAGTCGGCGCAGAGCGCGCACTCCTCCTGGCAGTCCGGGTTGCGCAAGGATTGCGTCCCCATGATCTCGGCTGCGTCGTCCACGACGAAGTTAAGCTGGATACAGGTGTCGGCCAAGAGGGATCCTTCTCCGGGAGTGAAGCCGAGATCCAAGAAGATGGACTCGTCGTCAACAAGCGCCTGTTGTAACACAGAACGATGCGGGGGGGGGTCGACTATGGGTTAGGTGCACGGTCCACCTGTAAACCATGGTGGTGAGGACGGAGGATGAAGGCAGCAAGATGGAGTTCGGCGGCCGTTTACGGACGTGGCACTAACATATGTAGTTCAGGCAATGAACCCTGGAGGGGTGTACAGGGCAACGTCAACACAACCAGAACGAACACAACGCCGTGAGTTGCCCCGATGAACTCCCAGCCGGGGCCATCGTCAAGCAGACGTTTGTAAGTTGCGCGGCGATAGCGACGTCTTCAGCCTGGTTCGACTGGAAGCAAATAAATAAAAGATGTACCTAAGCATGACCCAATCCTGAATGTAAATTCGTTGCATCATGACGCAGGGTCTCGTGTGCGTCATCGGTGGACAACTTCCAACGTGCTTTGAACGCGAGAATCTATACCTTGGTGTGCGATTTCGCCTTCTTCAACATCTGTGATCAATGGCCCTAATAAATCAAGCCACCTGTACTGTATGACTCTATCGGGTCTCCCCAGGACTCACCGCGAACAAGGTGTACATGTCCAGCATTCGCACTTGACCGGCGTACTTGTCAACCAACAGTTCGGCTCCGCTGCGAAGGACCAAGGTGATCTGGTCCAAAACAGTCGCGGTTTCCGTACCGGCAATGCCCTGTGCGTGACGTCGACAACGCAGCAGTAAAAGACTCAGCAGTAAATTGTTCGCGCAACGCATCCACCGCCTGCTGACGGCGGCCGTGCTCAACATCGTTTGCGACCTCGCACATCGTGATGCATGCAGATAGTTCAAGGCAGTCACCTTGCTTGTAGTCCGACAAAATAAAATCCTTGCACACGCACAAAGCCTTTTGTTTGCGCAGTACTTGGCCCTCTCTTGAGGCCGGCGTCCTCCGGTTCTTTGTCGGTGTCGCAATGTGACTAGTAGATGAGGGGATATTCAGTTACTACTGCAGATGTTGATAGTATCTCCGATGAACTCGCTCGCACTTACATCCAATCCTTTGAGAGACCCGACGTTGGCGAGGAGGATTCTCCCGGTGACGCCAGCGTCGATCAGCCTGGCGATCCCCTCATCCCAAGCACCGAGAACTTCCTGTGACGGTGAGCGTAGGTATGCATACAAGTTGAAAGCAGGAATCAGCGGGTGTCGCCAGAGAACAGAGCTCGTCTTCAGCCTGCAGAGGCTTCAGGCGCAGGAACGAGGCTCATACCATCAAACTTGACGCTCACATCGCCTGACATCACGCTCTAATGCCGGAGCACAAGGGTGCAGCGCTGGCGAACTCAGCGCTCACAAGGGTAATGCACCCCAGCATGTGTGCGTAAGGTTGTTCTTGTGGTTCGTGGCAAGCCACAGTGAACGAAACTTGACGTAGAGCGTGTAGATGTGTCAGCAGGGCGGTAGACCTCAGGGACAGCGGCAGCAGCGCCACCACCGCCATCCCCACCACTACCACTTCACTACCAATACCACCACTACCACCACTACCACTACCACGACCACCACGACCACCTCCACCTCCACCTCCAACAACAACAACAACAACAACATAGAAACCATACCTCGAACAACGAACCTTATTCCTTTGGAGGAATCGTCTTGCAAAATGATACATCCACCCTCACCTCGATCATCGGAGTGAAGGTGGGTACTGGGAGGCCGTTTTCATCGAATACTGGCAACCCGGTGGTTGCATTAACCTCGAAGACCTTCTCGAAGGCAACGGGGTCTTGGTAGCCCTCTCCTCCAATGGAGTAGCGGGTGACGGCGGCTGCCGCCATGATCAGCTCGTTTATCCCGATAAAAAAAACGTGGGTGTAGCCTGCATGCACAGCGAGGCGGCCAAACGGTACAGCAGTTAGTTTTACCCCGTCAGGCATGGGCGGCCCTTCATGCTCCGAGACTTGCGAGACAAGCTCAACAGGGACGAACAAACATTAGTATGGATATCAGAGCAGCCCTACCAAATTGATAGTGTGAAATCATCGAGGGAATGGCATCAACCTAGATCTGCGTAGGTAGCGGTCGCACAGAGAACGTCAGGATACTCTCGACCTCTTCAAAACTATCCAGCGCTACCCTGGCGCTGTCCTGTGCGCGGGAGGGAAATGCTGCCTCGACATTTCTTCTGCAAACGGAAGCAGCAACCGTTCGACGAAGAAAACCCAGTTCACCGTAAGGGTCTAGCAGCGAGTACTCTATCTGCTAGAGTTGGGCCGGACAACGTAAACTTTCTCACCTAGAGTGTCGCTCGTAGTTCTTGTGTTCGTATCGTCGACGATTTCGTAAAAGTATCGGTCGATCTGTTCTTCCAGAGTCTGCAAAGAAAGCGAACGGGTGACGGGGTAGGATAACCCGTCACCACACCAAGCCCGACACGCAGAAGAAGAGAGGTGGCATGTTGCCGCAGAAGCGGGAGCTTCGAAACACAAGTAGTACAACAGTGTAGGCTCAACAGCTTGAGGCGCCAAAGGCGGACACACCAAAGGGCCGAGCATATTTAAAGGCCGGGTTCCATTGCGGGAAAGGAAGAAGCAAGCAGTTCAAACAAGCAGACAGTCATGCATCAGACGCCGGTGAACGTTGTCATCGTGTTCCTGTGTTTCCTGCATCCGTCTCTCCCTTCCCTTGTCTCCCTTTCTGCGCTTCTCTATTTGCATCGCGACCATTCTGACCCGCTCTCTCCCCCTGGGTTTAAAACCTCGCCAACACGCTATTCCAATGGAGGCAAGAGGATGGTAGCACACACTCAGAGCCCCCGGCTCGTCGTTCGTATCTTAGACTCATCCTTAGCGTCGGCGACCCAGGTGACAGGCCGGTAGTAGAGCATCTCAATTCTTATCGCGGCCTGTGTCAATAGTATCGAATGGGCTTACCGCCGTGGGGAAATCTTCCCCCTCCCCGGTGTAACCGGTGCACCTCTCGCGAGAACGGAACGTATCCGTGGCGGTCGCTGAACTCGTCGCAAAGTTGTGCTCCTGATTCACCCGGTGTAGAGTACTCAAAGCGAGACGGCGGGCAATCGAGGCGGGAGAGAGCGTGGTCCGTGATGTGTGTTCGTCCCATTTATGTTCTGGCGCCAGTATTTGTACAAGGCTGACATATCAGACGAGGTCACCGTGAAAAAAGAGAGATTTCATCAGGAGCTATTTTGCCAGCAAACGTCACATGAATCAGTCAACGGCCATGCCTGTGGTCGATGACATGCGTCGAACGCGCATTCGCTAGCGTCTGATGGTTCCCCAACGTGCCAGTATTCCCTGCGATGCTCGGTGAGGGCGGGGGTGCTACCGGCGACGTCGAACACGAAGGCTTTGAGAGCTCACGCAAAATATGGCGGACGCTCCTGAAATACATTGAAACCATATGAAGCCACCGCCGCTAGTCACACCGCCGTACCGAAAGGTATCCCAGAACGTGGCGGCTGAAAACACGCGACGAAGTCCTCCCAAGCACGGTAGTCAAGCTAGAGGCGTAACATCTGGACCTGCAGCAGAGTATTTACGAGGTCAAACAAATCTGTACGATACTCACGTCGGGGATACGGAGCCACGTCGGCCACACTTTTCCATTAGTCACGGAGCCTTCAAACGGCATGTACGCTGCCGTTTTCTCCTGCGGACAGCACGAGGAGCACCAAGACTAGCAGCAAACGCGGTTGAGGGGGCGTGACACGGAACATCCGCTACCCATACAGGAGAGCCACCGTCGGCATTGTCGAAATATTTTCGGCACCATCTCGGATGTTTCCACACCATCCCAGGAAGGAAAAACGTTTCCACGTATATACCGGAAATCAGACCATTCGTAACGAGGCGGAAACCGCCGCATAAATGTGTGACTGTCACATACGCATATGCGGCAAAGCAAACAGGCAAAACACCATGGACGCAATATTTCAATAGTTTCTGGTACTTTCCCGTCATTCTTCTCCATTCTTACCTCCAAGAGGCTTGCTTCCAAATACTGCCTTGGAGAGTAAAGCTCGTTTCGATAGGAGCGAGGTGATTGACGACCAAGACGGCGTAGTCACAGAAACGACCGCTGCAAACACGCGTACGTATCGGTTAACTGCGACAACCCGAAGTAGCACACACCACCACCGTGAATGCTGGAGCGATCTCCCGGCCGTCCATAACTATGACACATCCCAAGTACGTTCTGCACGCGTGCTCAACGAAATCCGGAGAGATTTCAAAAGATCAGATAGCCTCAAGAAGATGACCGCTCACGTCACTGTCCGGCCCGTTGTACACCCGTTTCCACGGGAAGGGCCCGATCCCATGGTCGTCGAAGTGGAAGCTGGCCGGGGCGTTGAACCTCCTTCCGGCGTCCGAATTGGAGTCACCGAACACCACCATCTTTTTCATGGTTTCGAAGCACAGAGAAACATTTGCAAAGATCGAGAGCAGGACATGTCTTGGTCGACGGCCTCAGCGTGCACATTCGGTGCAAGCCGTGCTGCAGAGTGGTTACAATATCGCCTCCGAAAAATCAATAGCACTGGATCAGTATTTCATTATGAATATTCTATACCACAAACATCTTCCCATGAACGATTTCCATCCTCCTTTCCGTCCCTGGCCATTGTTATGTACAGCCGCACGTTCTCGGGAATTGCGCGTAGTATGCGAAAGCGGAGAATACGAACTTCTCTATTATCGACCAATTTTTCATCCGCAGCTATACATAGGTGCATGCTTGAAGTATGTTGTTCATGTGTTCTCCGAAGCTGGTTGGTCGAGTGCCGCATGAGGACACACTGCTGCTTGCTGTACAGCAGTAGTCTAGCTCAAGCCTTTTTGGGAGCTACGTCAGACTTGCGATCTCTCCAACCGGTGCAAATCTCTCGGACTTGCGTGTTCTATCCGCCAGTAGTTCCCCGGGTTTTGACTTCACACCCTGTACAATAATGACTGACAAATACAACAAACAGGCGGGTCAGGTTTCAACTATCCCGTAGTTGATTGGAATCAACTACATGGTCGCCCGGGATTCTGAGCCAGTAGTTGATTGGAATCAACTTCAGTCACCCCAACATTTCCAGTCAGTAATAGGTTGATTGGAATCAACTAGTTGCTCGAGATTCTGCTGAAGTGTTGTTTGGAAACAACTACTGATGATGGAGTAGCACAAGATTTTGGCCGAGTCCATACATGTATCGGGAATAAAGAATGATCTCTTCCACACTTTTTGTGCCGCCGTTGGCCATTTGAAGTAGTTCTGCTTCATGTAGTTGAATCAAGGGCGCCCAAAAAATTATTCCGACACCTACGTCCTACGTCCCATTCTCTTGTTTGGGAGGTTTTTGGGGGGGGAGGGGGGGGGGGTACTCATAGTCGTGCATGCCGTAGTCGTTAGACCATTGACCTCGCATCCCTACAAAGCCGGGACGGAGCACGCCGGGTTCTCACCGGACCAGGCTCTCACATCACCAAGCGCGAAGCGCCGTGAGATATTCGGCGAGTCGCATGAAGGGTGCGCTGCATCCTGCTAAGGGTGTTCGGCATCTTGTGCTTACTTCCTTGCGTACGGATGACAGCTGCGTATGACTTAATTTATTTTCTGGTGCTTTCACTTCCAGAGACAGTTGTAAGCACTGTGTAACTGCCTCGAGGGTGCTTGACCATTTTAACACAACGTGGTGCGATCATCCCCCTTGCGCGGAGCGAAGGTTCTCGACCCCGCACAACACGATCTACTCGACCACCGTTCATTATGGTTACCGCCAAAGAAAAAACCGGATGTAAAAACCGGTAACCTGTTTGCCGAGTTCACTAAGTAAATTGGCTTGTTTTACAACGTCGTTGCCAAGCGACGAAAACCCAACCCCGATGGCAAACACCGGGGGGGGTACCGGGGGGGG